CACTTAGTCTCCGAGCCGTACGCGCTGCGTACTCTAAGTTACGGCCAGCATACAAACAAATTAAGCATATTTTCCATTAAGTGATTAATACTCTATGTTCTAACGTCCAAACCTTAGATTCGATCTCATTAAGACGTCCTAAAGCATAAAGTTGTCCACTTTATGCCTTTACATGTCCCCTATGCTCCCAACAACCCATTAAGACCTTTCCAAGAGTCTTAATCCATGCATGAGGTCAAAATACCCATCAAGACTCCATTTTTATGCTATGAAAGGATCAAAGGACTTTAGATCTATACTGCCTAAGCTCTAGAGTTGCCCAAACTCTCAAGAGGTGGCTTAGGAACACAAAAAGGGACTAAGGAGAAAATTCTAGCTCTAGAAACGGAAATGATAACCAAGGTGAAAGTTTTTTACCTCCTTAAGCTTCCTAAGCTACTCAAAATGCAAGATCCAGAAGCACTTTCTCGTTTAATCTTGTTTCCTCTTCTTCTTTGTAGCTAGCACACAACAAGGATGATGTTTAACCACTCAAAAGCTCAAGAACACACTCTCTAATGATTTTAGGGTTTTCAGGGACGTTTGAATATGAAGGAGGCTGGTTAGGGTGAAGCTCAAATGAGATAAGGATGCTTATATAGGTCTTAAGTCCGGAAATTAGGGTTTGAACATCTGTCACGTACGCCCCATGTACCCTTTGGTACGCCCATCATACGTGCTGGCCCTCCACGATCATCCATGCATGGTACGCTAAGCGTACTCATGAAGTACGCCCAACGTACTTAAGGGACTTGTTTTGCAATATTTAAATTTCAAGGGCTTTGAAGGTAATATCTAATTTGGAGTGTTACACAACCGGTCAACGTAATAACTAGGTATGATTTTACCTATCAGTGTGAATTAGCATAACAATTAGGCATCATATTTGGGCAGAGTATTTACCGGTCATAACATCCTAATATTATGAGCATAATTATCTAACTATAATTAGTAATAACTATGTAATTGTAGCATTTTAACATGTACCCGCCCTAGAAAATGTTTGTCTTATAATTCCTACTTTGAGTAGCACTATAATTGTCCTTTTTGGTGACTTTCTCCAAAAGTCCATCACTCACTTTTTTGTTTTTTCATTGTAACATTTTACATACGATTGATATTTATTTACTGTAAAAATCATATGTCACCCATATCGAGTCGGATTTTTGCGAAATTTATATTTTTGAGATCGCGATAGCTTATGCAATCTAAAAAAGTTAGCATGCCATCAAAGTGACACGACTTTTCATGAATCCATTTTTTTGCCTAAAGGTTGATGTAATTAAGAACGAAAATTCGACTATATTAAAATATGTTTGGTGGTTACAAGGTTGTTCTTATTACATTTTTGAAGTTTATCATTAAATATTAATGACAGTCGATAAAGTATTTTCTAGATTGTCATATATATATATATATATATATATATATATATTGTAACACCCCAAAATCAGTTAGGCCAAGAAGGAAAGAAAACCCTAAATCAAAGGGTCAACTCGCCGAGTCCAGCGCGAAACTCGGCGAGTTCGAGCGGGGTCCAGGTTCAGGAATTAGTGACCGACTCGGCGAGTCGGCTAAGGGGACTCGGCGAGTCTGGTCTGAATGAGGAAAACCCTAATCTTGGGAGTTGTATTCTATTTAAAATGTGTTATGTCCCTCCCTCAGCCTCCTTATCATCATAGAGAACCTGTAAACCCTAGATTTCGTGTGAGCTTCCATCATTTGAGAGAAATAGCTTTGGAGGAAGGAAACTTTGGAGAGGAACTTGAAGATCAAGAAGGCTGCTTCAAAGGGGAGGTAAAGATCCGGGATCTACTTCAGTTTGTGTGCATCTTGGAGGTAGTAAGCTGCTATCTTCCCTCCTTTGCATCTAGATCTACTTTTGTTATGAGATTTGGGGGTTTTATGGTTGTTTGAGACCTAATTCGAGTTTGGGACCTAGATATGTTGTTGCCACTTCAGATCTAGTGTTGGGATGGTCCAATATGTCATAAAGCATCAGAAGATGAGTAGTTGGTGAAGCCCTTTTGTCCCTAAACCTAGCCCTAGATTGTTTTGAGCCTTGATCTCTTTAGTTATACGTAAAGTTTGCAACTCTGCGTGAGGATTGAGCTTTGGGAGTACGGATCTATGAGTTGGAGCCCCTACATGGCTCGAAAAGCCACTGTATGGATTAAGAACTGGTGCAACTTGGCGAGTCACATGGGTGGACTCGGTGAGTTGGATGAAGTTGGGCAGGAACTCAGCGAGTTGGAAGAACAACTCGATGAGTTGGTTGAAGATAGCCTTGGACTCGACGAGTCTGTTCTTGGACTCGGTGAGTCTGGTCTTGAGGTCCTAGCCTTTTCTGGTTAAGCTGAGAATCAGTGAGTCAAGGGACAACTCAGTGAGTTGAGATGAGATTTTTCAGAAGTTAAGGGACTCGTCGAGTCAGCCCGCTGACTCGACGAGTAGGGTCAGTCAGGAAGTTTGACTTTGTCTGAGGACTTTGACTTTGACCAAGAGTTGACCAATTGACTTCCAATGGTATTTTGGTAATTATTGGTATTTGTTCAGTCTTTTGGTATTATCAGGGGTGGAGTTCGTGTCGGAGGTTGGAGCAACGTGATCTTCTCTTTTTAGTCAGCAGATTGCAAGGTGAGTTTCCCTTTGTTAGAATGGGTCTAAGGCCACAATGTCGGCCCATGTAGATACGAGTAGGAAGACCCGGGGGTTAGCCCTAGGCACAGTATGCTAGTATGATATTCAGGGCGAGGCCTAATGATAGCGGGCAGGTGCCCAAGGAATGGTTTATATGTCAGTTTATACTTGTTATCTGTGTGATAGATGTATGTGCCTTGTAGGGAGGTGAGTGTGGGCGAGGTCCCGTATCTCACCAATAGCAGAGTGTGGACGGTGTTCCACATCTCATTTAGCAGCAGAATAGGGGCGATGCCCAAGTTAGGGAAATAGTGATTGTGGGTTGGGCCCGTATCTCACTATCAGTAAGGGCGTGGACGGGGTTCCATGACTCATCAGTAACAGGACAAGGGCGGGGCCCAAAGATAGGCGAGGCCTCAGGACAAGATTCGTGAGTATATGTTAGCTTGTGTGTTGTTATATGCTTATGTGTTATTATATGTTAGCGGGTGGGGCCCAGTGACAGGCGAGGCCTAAGTAAGACAAATATGTATCCGAGCGGGCCTCGAAGCCAGGCGGGGCCTGGAGCGGCGGGGCCGTTGTAGTGGGCGAGGCCCGAAATAGCGGGTGTGGCCCAGCATGTGCAGTATGTGGTTATACATGGTATGTGGTAGGGTGGGGAACTCACTAAGCTTCATACTTACGGTTTTCAGTTTTGGTTTCAAGTACTTCCGGTAGCGGAGGGAAGAGCTCGGGGTGATCGCATGGCACACACCATAGATTAGACAGTTTGGGCATGTTTTACTCTGATAATGAATATGTGTTTTGGAAATTAATACTCTGGTTATGATATGGATTGATAATTATGTTTTATGTAATGTTTTATAAAGAAATTTTTAGTCTCGAATTTCAGGTCGTTATATATATATATATATATATATATATACACACACACACACACACACGACTTTTTAAAATAGATAAGAAAAGTTTGTAATGTCAAATTAACATTTTTCTTTGTTAGAATATATGCATTTAGTCTACTATATTTAAAACGAACAATATAAAATCATGTTTAGATTCTTTCATTTATTAAATATATGAATTTTTGTCAAACAATTTAAAATGCTTGAGTATACATTCAATTTGTTTATCGTTAAATTGTGAGTAAATAACTCTAAATTTAAAATGAAAATGTTAAATGATACAATATTGTTAAATAATACAAATTATTATAGTATAATACATTATTAATTAAATTGAAGTTGTTCGGAAATACTTATTATTAAGCTTATAATAAATTTATTAATATATTAATTTGAAAATGGAATAACAAAAATTATGAAATATAAAGGTTGTTAAAAGTGTGATATATCTTGGGAGATGATGATTATGATTAAATAAGAGTTTATTGAAGTGTAAAAGTTGAACGAGATGATGATTAGGATTAAATAAAAGTTTATTAAAGTGTTGGTGATGACATGGTAAAATTGAATTAAAAATAAAATAATTATTAAATGGTTTGATAGAAAGAATAAAATATTGATTGCTAAGTATGAAATCTATGTATTACATAAGTTTATTTAAAAGAAAAAATAACAATTTAAAACATTTAAGAAATTGAAATTTATAAGAAAAGTGAGAAAACATTGAATTATAAAAATTAAATTATAAAATTTAAAATGTTTTTTTCTCTTTTAAATTTAAACAAATAATTTAGATAAATAAATAAGAAAATTAATGAATCTTTAATTTAGTAATTTTAAAATTAAAAAAATTAATTAATAAAATTGATATACATTTATTATTGCATTTAAATACTATTTAAAATTTAGTAAAATAAAAAAATTATAAAATAACATGGATTTAAAATTAACATATAGCAAAAATAAAAAAAATATGACATTTGTCAATTCATTTATTATGTGAATCCAACTCTATTATCAACTCTCAATAGAGTTGATTTGATTGTGGTCGGGTGATTTTGATTTTGAACGATGGACTTGTTCCTTAGTCTTTGACTCTTTTAATACGTTATTTTGACTCTCAAGATTCTTTTAGGTTCTTTATAGGCGTGCTAGTTTAAGTCAAAAGAAAAAGTAAAAGCGTAAGGAATAATTAATTAATTAGAATCAAATAAGGAAAATATATGAAATATAAAATTTGTAACACAGCAAAGGCACCCGAAGTAACGTCGAATCAGAAGAAAAAGAGGATGAAACTGGACAGAAATTCTGAACTAAATGCCAAGTACTTTCTCATGTAGAAAAAAAACATGGAAAAAATTTACGACGATATGAAAGAAAAGCTATAAAACAAAAGCATTTTTTACCAATTCTGATATGAACAGAAACCCAGATAAGGAAAAACTTGAAAAGCTTGATACTCTTACATTAATTTGTGTCTGTGTGACGAAAATGGAGGTAATTAGGGCGGTGTCCGCGGCAGTGATACTGAAGCTAGAAGATACGATGAATGAAGAATCTGTAGCCGATAACAAAAAACTGAAGCATCAACTCCAGATGCTCCAAAAGTCTCTCGAACAGCAGGAAAAATTCTTAGATGAAGAGGATGTATCCCAAAAAACAAGGGACCATCTTCTTAACCTTTATGAGGTCGAGGATGAAATCGACATATTTTCCTTTCAAGTTGCTCGACAGAGGAAAACATTCTTTTTCAAGAACTTCAGTTCTTGTCGTAGGCTAAAACAGAAGATGAAAAAAATCCAGAGCCGGATTTCCAGTTCTGAAGATGTGGTATCTGCTATTCCTGGTTTGATCAACTGTTCCAAGAGTGATCAATGGTCAGTTAATAGCCCTCACACAGGCATTTCTGATACAACCACCAGCGAAGAATATCACAGCGATGATGATGACGATGAAGATGATGATTTCTATTATGAAACACAAGCGTTGACGTTGAAGCAAAAGAGTGTGTCAAATGTTTGGCCCATTTCAGAATCCCCGAGTCCTGAACACAAGAAACTAACCTTCAGCTATTCTTATAAAGAAAAAGAAAGGAACATGCGAGGTTCCAAAGAAGAGAATCTACATTACCCAAAGCAGATACCGACTTTCTTTCACCAAGAAGAAGTAGGCATTTTTGGGCTGAAAGATGATGTTAAAATCCTGGTGAAACGGCTTACGCGGCATCAAGAAGCGTGTGTTTCAAGATTCACTGATGATGATGTTACAAGTGTGGTGAAACAACAATCAAAGCAAAAAGAAATGTTTGTCCAAGTTGTTGGCGAGGTGGGTTCCGGAAAAACCACTCTTGTTCGTGCAATCTACAAAAACAAAAAGATCAAGGACCATTTTGAATCCCATGATTGGATCTCTATCAAGCATGAGGATACAGCCGATCATATCTTGCTCGGCTTGTTAAAGAACGTCGCAACTGTTAAGAATAATGGTGGGGATACGAGCTTTAATGATCAATCACTAAAAACCAGAGTCTTCAACCACCTCAAGGGTAAGAGGTACTTGATTGTGTTAGATGGTGTCAGGAGTTGTCGTCTGCTGGAAGATCTGAAAGAGGCCTTCCCATATGAAGATAATGGAAGTAAGATAATTTTCACACAACGGAGATGTCCAGAGACTTACGTGAACATGATCACGATCAATCCGCATAAAATGAATCAACTAAATGAAACGGAAAGCTGGAATATGTTTCTGATGAAGGTTGGAAAGGAGTCTGGAAAGATTTCACCGAGGTTGAAACGTAGGATCTTGAATATATGCAAGGGTCTCCCTCTCAACATTGTCCTAATTGCTAAACTGCTCTCGAATAAGGGAATAGAAACATGGTCCTCGATAGTTGCTCGTGATAGATGTTTTAATGATGCTGTAACCTTATGTTATGAAGATCTGAGCAGTAACTCAAAGCTTTGCCTGTTATACCTCTCGTTTTTCCCAAAAGACTACGACATTCCAGTACGGAGGTTGCTCAGGCTATGGCTTGCCGAGGGTTTCGTCAATGGAAGATCCGAAGAGATCTCGATCTCCCCAGAGGATGTGGTACAGGGATATTTTGAAGATTTGGTTGATCGGAGTTTGATACAGATAACCAAACTGAGATCCGACAACAGCCCTAGACACTGTCAGTTAATTTCTGTTCTTCATGACTATCTCCTGCAAAAAGCCCGTGACATCAGCCTGTTCAACATCCACCGCAATTCTGAATCTTTTGAGAATGCTGCAGGTCCCTTTGGTGTTCGTCGGATGGTTCACCACATGAACTCCGTCGGAGCCCTTGCCACCACCACTAGGGCACATGGTCAGATGACAGAGAGAAACAAAACACATGTTCGTTCCTCGTCTTCCACAAGATACCTTTCTTGTTTCTCTGTGAGATGTAGTGAAAACATACATGATACAGAGATGCGTGGAGAGATTTCGACTTTTGATCCCTCTCTTTTGAGGTCTTACGTGTCGTTTAACTCCCATGGTAAGGACATCGCAGAAAAACAAGTGGGTAAACTTTTGGGTAGAATCATTGAAAGCAATTTTCGACTATTGAGAGTGCTTGATCTAGAGGGTGTTTACATGCCTAATCTACCTCATAAGCTCGGGCACTTGCATCATCTAAGATACCTAGGACTGAGAAGGACGTTCTTGGAGAGTCTCCCTGAATCCGTGGGTGATCTTTCTTATCTGGAAACCCTAGATGTGAAGCACACCCGTGTAGAAACTTTACCCGACTCCATTTGGAAGCTCAAACAGCTTCGTCATCTAAATCTGAATAACATTCGTCTTGCGATGCCACCTAGAAGTTCTTCGACTCTAGTCACCCTGTGGGGATTGGTTTTAGATGAGAAGATATCGGTAAATGAAGGTGTAGGTAAGTTGCTTAATCTCAGAGAGTTGGGTGTTAAGTTCAGCTTAAGCGAAACCCAAAGCATGTTGCTTGACTGGATTGCTAAGTTGGAAAATCTTAGGTCTTTGAGGTTGAGATCTCCAGATGACATGAATCGTTCTTCAAAGATAATCTTGAAGCCACTAGTGAAGTTGACTAAACTCTCTCATCTTGATCTGTATGGTACTTTAGAAAGATTACCTGCTCCAAATGAATTCCCGCCAACAGTTAAGGTTCTCACGTTGTCAATCTCTCGTCTAAACAAGGATCCAATGGAGACATTGGGACGCCTACCTTCCTTGATTGTGTTGAGGCTCTTGGGGGACTCATACATTGGAAAAAGATTGGTTTGTCATCGAGGAGGATTTAAAAAGCTTGAGGTGTTGAAGCTGTGGAAACTGAAGGATTTAGAGGAATTGGATGTGGAGGAAGAAGCAATGGAAAGCCTCAAAGAATTAAACATCAGAGGTTGTGACAAGTTGAAAAACATCACTTCTAGACTACTGCAAAAACAAAGGTGTTTGGAGGAATTAGTATTGACAAATATGCCTGATGACTTGGTAGCTCGGATCAAGAAAAGAAAATTCAAGGATACATCTCTCACAATCAACTATTTGGAATAAGCACCCTAGGCTTTGGAAGCACAAGTGGTTGGAAGCAGAGTCTCTTGTTTCATTAGTTAACAAGCTCCAAGCTGTAGTCATGAGATGCTCAAGAATTTATTTATTTATTTATTTATTTTCATTTTGCAAATATATGTACGGTTGTTTCGTCAAGTTATTCTATAGATGTGATTATATTCTATAAGGGCAATGAGTTAAATTTTATAGAGTTGGATGGAACGTTATTTCATTCTTTTATATTACATACAATTCTATTCTATAATGCATTGAATTTTAAAAAGTTTAATAGAAAATTTTGAAAGCTAATTTATAGTATATATTTTAAAAACTTTCATTTTTTTTTTTTTCTATTGAAGAGTTCGATGGTAATTGACCTCAAAATTCGTTAAATGTCAAGGCGATATTTCACTATGATAGAGCTTACTTCATTGAATGACAAATAGACTTATAACATCATTCAATGCTCTAAGAGTAAATTACAAGGATCGCTGATCATGAGATTTACAGTAATTAATCTGCGTGTTTTGTTTTAATTTTTTTTTTTTAATTCGGACGGCCGTTAAATGTTTTTGTATTACACGTTTGGTCAGTAGACATAAAGAGACTAATTTTCCCTTAATAATATATTTTTTTAATTTATATTATTTATTTATCATTTTTAAATTAAAAAAATAAACAATATAAAAAAATAAACCCACCATCCCATGTCTTCTTATCTTCCCCAATACGCATGCCTTCACTATCACCACCTCTCCCCTCTCTCTTCAATCCACCATAAATTTCTCCATCACCGTCGTTCCATAGAGTATCACCACAAGTAACCCTTCCGGTGAAGCGTACTATTGAAGCCAATGGGTACATCAACCCATCGTGAAGCCATGTTGTTTGAAATCTCGTTTCATCGCCATCACTACAACCTGAGGTTTAATCTGAGATTCATCAATTTCTTCACCTGAGGTTTGATTCGTTTATGTTCTGATCGATGATGCAAAAATGAAGCGATAGCAATGACGCAATGATGCAAGGATGAAGCAGACCCAAGCATTAGCCTTTTGGAACACTGCTCAACATAAAATTGCCACCTCTGAGGCTTTTTCTGACGAACAAAACCCAAATCCCGTTCTTTCCATGCCTTCCAAGGTCTATTTTCCTGGTTTTACTCGCATCTGCCTCTGGGTTTGAACATATTTGATTATGGATTAAATTTCTTGATTTTATTTTTGGTTAGAATGAATTTATGGGTTAGATTTCTGGTTTCACTTCTTTGTTTGATTTCCATATTTAATGTTTAGGTTTTGAATCATGAGTTGAATTGTTTTATGAGTTTTTATTTTTTCTATTTTTGAACATCTTTGGGGTGTTTTTTTCCGGTTGAGGAGGTGGGTGCGTAGTGGTGGTGGTGGTGGTGATGATGATGGTGGTGATCGAGGTGGTGATGGTGGTGGAATTGATTATTTAAATAATAGATAAAAGGATTATTTAAAGATAAATTAATCAAAAAATTATGTCAAGGGCAAATGGTTATTTCATGTCCGTCCGGATCGAAATATGTAACAAATAAAAGTTTTAGCAATTGTCCAAGATAAAAAAAAAATAAAAAAAAATAAAAAAAAATAAAAACTCTAAGGACCAAACGCATAGATTACCACAACCCACGTGGACCATCCATGTAATTTACTCTTTCTTTAATGAATATGATTGGATTTTAAAGGATTGCTAAATAAGAAACAACCAATTATAAACATTTCCATCATTTTCTCATGTTTAGTATGAAAATCACATTATAATGTATTGATAAATTATATAAAAAAAATTACATAAATTGTACTCATGGTTTACCAAAAGTTCTAAACTCAATTTGTGCTAAAAAAAGTTTACAAACATGTCTCTATGGTTTTTGAAACTTACATGGTTAGTCCCTAGTCTAGGTAAAAATATTATCATACCATTTTTAATTTATTTTACGATCTCTTTAACATTTTTTAAGTTATTGAACTTGTTTTGCTCTTTTAACAACTAATCTGGCTACCGCCCTCGCCCTACTTAGGCAATGCAGTATTGTTAACATCACTATGCTCTGATTTATTCATGAGTATCGTTGTGTGGAAGAGGAACTGTTAGAGTTCAGGATCTCCTTATCGCTTCCAAAAGTCGATGAGCGTAGGAAGTTAGCATTATATAGTATACAAATCAAGATTCTAAATAATGTAAGGTGTGATTTGGCCGCAATGTCAAGCATCAAGTTTTTCCATGCATTGACAGACCATGTCGTTTGTAAGGCGTAACTTAAGGCGGCAAATTTGTATATAATTAATATCTTTTTATGTATTTTCAACTATTCTTCTAATTTATACACATATATGAGTTAAGACGACGTTTTGGTAAATCTTGACGGCAGATACAAGCCTTGGAGCCAAGACGAACTTTTTAGAACCTTGATACAAATGCTCATAAATAAAATGGCAGAAGATATATAAAAGTTTATCAACTCAGCTAGAAGTGGCGTACAAACATGTGGGCCGATTTCCGAGCGTTAAAGGAATTCTCATGTATTTGACACAATCGAAGCCTACATAGAATTGTTTGAAGTTTACAAAGACACTTCTCGATTTGTAATGTCCCAAAATATGCAATAAATTTGAACTTTTTAAAACAATGGAGATTTACCAAAAAATCATAAGTTTTATTAAAGAAAGTTTCAAAATCAACTCCCAATATCAAAGTAATACGAAAAGCCCGTTTTAAATTTATAAGTTTTAAAATAAAAAGGAAACATAGTCCAACGTATTATAAAATCTATATCACTCCGAACCGAGCCAGTATGTACTGTCACACCATCATCCTGGATACCTGTCGTGTCATAACTAGCATTTTTAGCTAGGAAATTATGTCCTCGTGTAAACATCAACTATTGTAAGACTTGTAATCTAAGTGGATATCATACTCTATGCTCAATCAAAATCATCCATATGAATCAAAACTCCTAAGCGAAGTTCAAAACCTAATACGATGCATCTCATATACTTAACTATAGTCTGAAACCCTAAGTATCTCTGTTCAAATTTATTATCGACTAGGGTCCTCTTATTGGGCCTAATGGGCCAGTAAACCTTCTAATTGATAATTTTGGACCAATGAAGCCCATCTAGTTGGGCCTACATTCGTCAAACCATAGCAATTGGGCCATGTATGGGCCATGATGGGCCGTGAACCCATCTTCTCATGGTGATTGGGCCATAAACCCCACTCTTTCACCACCTTTGGGTCGTGAACCCTCAAGAAGGGCCTAATGGGCCAAAAAACTTCAACTTGGGCCCCCATAATTTCAAGAATATTTAATATAAGCCCAGAACCCTCTTTTCTTTCACCCTTTCCTCTCATTCTCGACCCAACTTTAAAAAAAAAGGAAAACAAGGGGATAATTTTAGGTGCCATCTCATAATTACCTTGTGGACTTCCATACTAATTATCCCACAAGTAACCAAGTAATCTCATTTATCCATGCAAACATCACATCTCCTTTCACCCCTCTTTTCCCCCTTTTCTTCTTATTCTCGGCCAAGGGTTCCCACCACCATTTTTACTCTCAATTCTAACTACTTCAAACACTCTCTGGCACAAGAACTCATCTCCTCCATCCTCCTAGTTCTCGTGAGTTTTTAAAGGTACATCAAGGTCTCTCCATCAAAACTCATACATCCTTGGTAAGTTATTGTGAAACTCTATAACTTTTGATTCAAGTTTACTCTAGAAATCTCTTCTTAACCCACATCATTTCATGATCCATGCTCTTAGAACTTCATAGATCTTGAAAATCTCCTCAAGGAAACATTTAAGGTCGAAATCTCCTTCAAACTCTTCATCAAACCGAGAACAACAACCCAAAGTGAGTTCATACCCCCTATTTTTGGTTTTTACTATGTTTTGGGGGAGAATACAAGTTGTTTTGTGTAGATCTATGTGTTTATGCATGTATGTGTGTGTTTTCATGTTATATGTTGTGTTTATGTTATGAAAACATGCTAGATCTCTACTAAGCTCGAAATATCTACTATACTTGGTGATGTTTGTAAACTAAACCATCTTATGTGACTTATTATGAGGTGGGAAAGATTAAACATGCTAAAAGTGTTTGAAAACTTACTAAAATCGTATAAAGGGGCCATTTTTGACAAAATAAATAAAAAGTGAGGTTCTTATGTAACTCACGGTTTTGAGAGGACAAAAACCTATAGGTAGACCGGCAGAACCGGTAGCTGACTCAGCTGAGGAGGAGGCTGATGGCAGCGACGCGGATAACTCAAACGTGGAGTCCGAAGTCATCAATCTGCCATACATGCTAGGGTGCCCCCATATAGGATGGGCCCCAATGGTCCTACGCCCCCATGGGCACACGAGATCTGGAGGTGGAGCCACTAGCAAGGGGTGCGACCTCCATTTGGTATGAATCGGGACTACTACGACTTGAGTCACCTTGGACCTGCAAACTGAGCCTTGCCTGTGATAGTGAGGAGGACACACGACATCGGCGAGCAGGCACATGAAACCGTTGGCTAAATGGTTGTCATAAGAGCCACAATTGAACGCGTGGAAAGGATGACACATGAGGTAGTCAGGGACTACCAGGTGCGACAGACAACATTGGAAGCCCGACTTCAGGCCACCGAGCATCACCTGGCCAGACTTCAGGGTACATCTACCTCGTCATCAGCACCACCAGACCCTTCTCGTCATAGTTAGTACCCGTTCATCTGGTACCTACTACCTTTATGTACTACTCTATGTACTATCGACTACATGATTAAGTGATTACACTACTCATGGAGTCGTCACTCTGTCGAATTTTATTTCATTTCATGTATTGTATGCCTTATGTAGGCAAATTTCCATGTATCAAAAGATTATCATTAATGAAAAAGGCTATATATTTTCTCATGGTATTGTTATTTGCTATGTGTTCTATTACTTTTACTACATGTTTGTATGCACTCACTTACTTA